ACATTTAGGACTTTTCATTTTTCACAATTTCACGTTTGAAAATTGCACGAATGTGCAACTGTTGCTATGATAATTAAAATTATCATCGATTGCCTGCAAAAAGCACTTTCCCTAGCACAGATTTCAAATTTGAATTCTGCGTACATCCCCATAGGGCAGTCCCTTGTAGTTTTTAAGTTATTTGAGAAATCACCTTTTAGATCTAAAAGAATACGAATATTGAATATTTGTGCAAACCCGGAAATTGTCAAGTCCTACAACCCAAATTTTGGTTTGGGTTTTGCAAGCTGATCAGTTTTAATTTTTCTGTGCCCGTTTTGGTTTTTCAAATCCGGGATCTTGATTCATTGTATTTTAAGAAATTTTTCAAAACCTAAAAAACTCATGGACCGGGGACCAACGGCTTTAGGAAGGCGTGATCAGAGACATTATGCCTCAGAAAATCTCGACGGCACTAACTGGGATTGGCCTTTTGGAATGAGAGGCAGTAACGCTTCCCACTACACCACCAGTGCCGCGGTTTAGAATATTGAAAATCTTTCCTAGTCTAGAACATCTGGGTTCATCAAATTTTTTCAAGTCCAAGATCATAAAAAAAATGGAAAATTCAGAATATTTAACGTTCTTCTAAATTTGGGATAGGGTAGAGAACTACTTCGGCCTAATCGTCCATTTTGGGCCTATCGAGCAGAAAACATCGCATAAATTCATTGTTTCAGAGTTAACAAGTCAATTATGCGTTTGGTACGCTGCTTTAGTCCAAAAGCTACCGAACGAAATCAATGATATCAATGATATGAATGTTTACACCCATTTTACTCAAAAACAAAAGAAGCGCTCCGACCGAATCAATTTTTATCTTCATCCGATAGGCCGAAGGGAATTCAATGACGTTTGAATGCGTTTTAATGCGTTAGGCCGAATTTAGAATCCGTAGGCCGAGTTTGGATTCAAGAAGCAGTCTTAGACTTTTAACAATATCTCAACAATTTGTTTCTCTTTATGAAATCTTATGGTACGTACGGAAAGGTAAATAAATTTAGAAGCCAGAGGCGTCGCGTGCCTCATTTGTTTACCTGTGCACAAAACTTTGTTCGTTATAGCTTACCACCACACATAAGTTTTTGTTTTATTTTTCAATGCTCCATGAATTCGAGTGACATATTCTCAATTACTATATTAATAACTACCTAACGTAATATTTGAAGGGTCTATCATCTTGTGTAAACAAAACTTGTATGGCCCTTTTCGCGCTAACCGAAGAAGGAGGAATTGCAAAACTTAACTAATTCTCGTTTTTATCACAAGGCTAACTTTTTCGAATGAAGTGTAATGAAGAATATCCGTCAAACACTTCCGAAAACATTTTTTGATACAAAACAGTGTCAAAACCTAGAGAAAATTCATGAAGTCCCCAGGGCAGCAAACTTGAATTAATCAACTCTTTATTCATCAGAACAACACTATCAGAATGAACCAGGGGAAGCTCATAAGTTTTGAAAGGCGCACCGGCGCAACCATCGGTAATTGAGAGATTTACAACTGACAAGAGAGTGAGAGCGAGCTTTTGCGCTCTATTTCTCCATTACTCTCTTTGTCTGTAATCAGATATCCAAGTGCACAGCGAGAAATGCACACTTTAGGCACCCATACATCACAAATGTTCTTCTAATTTTAACTCACACATTCAAACCGGTCTGCAAGTATGATAACGTCCAAAGCGTACCAGACTGCTGTTTCCGTGTTGCTCCCGTTTGACGCGTGACTGCTGAAAGTTTCAATTACAACTAGTGGTGCAAGCAAGCCGCCATGTATTGTGGAAAATTTGTGGTATGTTTCAAGAGGTGATATAAGGTCTGCTTGACTTACATCAGGCATTTGACCATTCACAAACTTTCCACCAGCCACCCCAAAAAAACTCGCTAGGTACACTATTTAACGAGTTTTGTCATGCCATTTGATATTTTGAACCCCGTGATATTGATTTTTTTTTAATCCAGAATTTTGATTTGAAGGTTTGTTTTACTTTGAGGTCACTCTCTGGGTTATTCTCAGTGGCCGTGTACTCATTTTGCCAAATAAAATTCCCTGAGTTTTCCAGGTTTTTCCAGGACAGCAACGGAAAATTTCCAGGTTTTTGAAGAAACATTCCTTTGAAATTTAGCTCACAACTTCGTTGAAAATTTCATTGAAACGTTCCTTTAATCTTCCTTAAAATACTGCTACTTAAGCTAAGAGTACACACTTAGAAAAATCATGTACATTTAGGTGCTCAGAAACTGACATATCCGGGTGTTGATCTTCTATATATGTATATACATGAATTTCTGTCTGTCTGTCTGTCTGTGTGTCTGTCTGGCCCTTATAGACTCGGAAACTACTGAACCGATCGGCGTGAAAATTTGTATGCAGGGGTTTTTAGGGCAGGGAAAGGTTCTTATGGTGATGGTTCGAGACCCCTCCTCCTCTGTAAAGGGGGGCTCCCATACAAATGAAACAGAAATTTCTGCATAACTCGAGAACTAATCAAGCAAATGGAACCAAATTTGACATGTGGAGGTCATAGGAGGTAGCCCCTTAGATAAGAGGGGGGCTACGTACAATATAGCATGCTTTTTTTTAATTGGCACATAAACTCAAGCTAATATTGAATCCCAAAGAAGGCCGGGCACACTCAGCTAGTTTTGACTAAAATTAAGTAATAAAAGACGCAAAATTCCGCTCATTCAAACGTAGGTTTCGTCAAGTAACGAACTGTCCAGTCTCGAAGCACTTCATTTTACATGACATGTTTGTTTAAGTCTCATCACTTATGTCAAAAATTGATTCCGTCACGAGTAAAATTAGTTAGTACTGTTCGAATCATCCTCACAATTATGATTTTTTTTGTAGAATTCCCTTGTCCTTCTTCTCATGGAATGCTGCTTAGGAGCTGTTCATAAATTTCGTAGACAGTTTAGGGGGGAGGGGGTTGGCAATTATCCACGGCCCATACTAATTAAAAAAAATTGTATGAACAATTGTCTACGCAGGGAAAGGGGGGTCAAGAATAAAAAAACTGTCTACGTAGTTAATGAACAGCCCCTTACAAGTACCTTGGAGTTCTGCTTGGAATTCACGTTCAGTTCTCCTCCTCTAAATTACTTTGCAGTTTTAGTCAGAACTCTCTTTGAATTCTCTTGGAATACTCCACATAATTATGTTGTAAATTTTCAACTCAGGATCAGGATTTCGCTATAGTTCTACTCAGAATTACCTTGGAATTATAATTATCCTTACATTTCACCTGGAATCTGTAGTTCCTAAGAACTAGTTTGGAAGGAATCCTCAGAATTCACTTTTTTTTTAATTCTTCTTTGAAATCCCATGAAATGATTCCTTGAGCTCCTCTCATCAAATTCAATCATCCTGGATCCTACTTATCGACCCTTCAACTCATGAACCGGAACCAACGGCTTTACTTCCCTTCCGAAGGAAGGCGTGATCAGAGATGTTATGCCTCAGAACATCCCGGCGGCGCCGACTGGGATTGAACCCAGGCCTGCTGAGGTGAGAGGTTATCACGCTTACCACTACACCACCGGCGCCGCTAATCATTAAAGTTTATAAGCTTTGATAATTTTGAAAGGCCTTTAATTTATTGAAATCTGGGATCTTGGAATTTTTTTTTTGGCCGTAGTATTGAATATTCATTTTCGTTCCAGAATTTTGAAAATTTCTTCAAGTTTGATTTTATTAGGTCTAAGATTTCCAAATATAGTCTAAGTTTAAATTTTTTGGAAATAATCCACATTCCAGAATCTTAAAAAAAAAACACGATTCAAGCCTTAGAATGTATGTTCTTACTGAAGATAAATCCACTCCAAACGGCGCTGGTGGTGTAGTGGTAAGCGTGATTACCTCTCACCCCAGCAGGCCTGGGTTCAATACCAGTCGGCGCCGCCGGGATGTTCTGAGGCATAACATCTCTGATCACGCCTTCCTTCGGATGGGAAGTAAAGCCGTTGGTCCCCGGTTCATGACAACCCGGTTCATGGGTCGATAGGTAGGGTCCAGGTGTGGGAGCTGCCTTCCTGGCACGTCGGTAGCATTGGTGCTCAGCACGGAAAACAAGATCGACGGAAAAAACAAACCAAAGGAAAAAAAATAAATCCACTCTAGAATTGTTTCGTTCGAAGAGGAAGATAACTAACGAGGAACACTTTTTTCCTTGATTTGTTTTCCGTCGATCTTGTTTTCCGTACTGAGTAGCAATGCTACAGACGCCAGGGAAGCAGCTCCCACTCCTGGACCCTACCACCTATCGATCCATCAACTCATGGGACCGGGGACCAAGGGCTTTATTTTTTTCGAAGGAAGGCGTGATCAAAGATTTTATGCCTTAGAAAATCCTGGCGGCGTCGACTGGGATCGAACCCAGGCTCTTTGGGTGAGAGGCAATCACCCTTACCACTACACCACCGGCGCCGCTGACGAGGAAGATAAAGTTGGTTGTATTATGAAATGTTTCAAAATTCTTGCGAAGGTTCTCTGGCGTACTTCAATGTAGGGGAAATGGATGTAATGTCGGGCTAAATGCCCCTAATTTGGGCCCATACATAAATTCAGCAATCGACTAAATGTTCAATAGCGACCAAAAATTAGACCATTAGTACCGTCCCAATGACGCGTTCAACTAGATAAAATTGATAAATAACAGATTTTTAGCGATGGGCCCAATCTTAGATCCATAGGCCAACATTAGAGCCATTTCCCCTACCCAAATAAAATAATCCAAATAACCGAACCCATTTTACCATTCAGTTAACCGTAGAACATTTTTATGCACGGGTCCAAAGCTAGTCTTGCCAGTTAATATAACATCTTGCTGTTGGTTTCTCACATTTTCGTAAAAGTACATTGTCTGATGGATTCAACAATAATTCTAGGTATTCAAGATTTCCCAGACTTGTGTTATCTTCGTCTTCGTGCGATAATAGCAGGTGAGCTTTGGCACTTACCGTGGCTACTACAATGCCGAATGCAGTCGGCTGCTCATGCCGCCGATTCTGCCGGTGCTGCTGATGATTGTTGTAAAGTTGATATTGCTGCTGCTGCTGCTTCTGCAGCAGTTGATGGAAACTGGCAGCAAATGTTTTGTTTAATCCACAACGATACAGGTCCAGCTTTAGCAGCATTTGACACTTGCGGACACAGACACCCGGCGCCATCTTCGGACAGACCACCAACAGGAACACGATTCAAAACAACACCGGAACGAAATCACAACCTTCCACCACTTCGAACACTGCACCACTGCTGCTGGGAAAGCTGGCGTAAGATTTTTTTTTAAAGGATTTTTCTTCGCTTTGGATCACCGACACGCAAAAATAAAACTCTACTGCGGGAGATGAGCGCTTTTTCCCTTCGATTTATGTGGCTCTCTCTTGCTCTCGGAACACACAAAATCACCCAAAACACACTCGTAGGAGGATTGATTCCGGGAGACACAAACTTTACCTTCTCCTTGGATTCTAATTAGAACAATTTCTCCACAATCACGATCTGCACGAGCCACCACACACTTTCTTCAACGGACCAGCACTTTTCACTCACAAAAAAAACCTCTCAGAATCCGGATCTCCAATTTGGGCCACGCGAAATCTTTCAGCTATTAAAAGCCTACTTCTTCCAACTTCTGCTGCTGCTGCTGCCGATCACTGCTACCCAGGGCTAGTAAAGAAGAAGCACTTGTCACACCTTTCTGCACGTTTTGGGGGATCGAAGGTCTTTTGCCTTTGCCAGTTGTCACACCGCTGCTCGAATGCTTCTTCGTTCTTCCGCTCAGCCGGGCAATCAACCGCACAAACCGCTAGAACCTGTCAGCAGACTGCTCTCTTCCCTTTTACAGGAATTCGACACACACGGCAGCACAACGGCAACAATCGTGACCCACCACTTCCACTTCCACTCTTGAACTTGTACGACGAACGACGGAGGAGCACCTGATGATAGCTCACGCGAGTCCCGTTTCCGAAAGAAGACTGAATCCCTCTGGATCACAGGACACGGTCAACGCTGTACACACTCTCAGGTGGTCTTTGAATCGGTGAGCAGAGAGCGCGGATGCAGTAGCAGCTAAAAGGACGACCGACGACGACACGGCACGGCACGCTGATTCGGATTCTCCCGCAGGAAACGCAACGAGGGTTTTGTTTTGCTCTTCTCCCGGATTTTGTACTAGCACAAACGACTAGACTAGCTGAGGCACACGACCACTAACCTACACCTACACTAGCTACTCGCGAAACAAGAAAAACACGCTGCTACGGTACGGGAGATGAGCTCACCACCAGCACACAACAGTAGAACCGATTTTTTGTTTGTCAGCTGATGTTATGGTCGAGGTTTTGATGCGATGGTTTGTTTGACATCTGCCATGCAGGCCGCGCTGCGGATGTGTGCGTGAGGTGTTTTTGTTTTAACTGAGCGCGTAGCTTACATCGCTCAAAATGCGTTACGGTTTCCATGGAGTTACGCAAGAGCAGCGAGATGGGCTCCAATAGGGTTGTATATATTTAAAGTTTACAGAATAATATTTACTAGGAATAATAATTATTTACTACGTTATTGAGGGTCACACTAACATTTTTTAAAAAGTATACTTAATTTTTTTTTCCCGATTATGGAACAGCAGAACATTCGGTAAATTTGTGTTTACAATCCGTTCAGTAAATTTTCTTCCCTTGTGAGCAGTCAAAATTCTCTGTCCTGGATTGTAAATTTTACTGAATGATCGTTACAGTTAACAATGCTGTCATGGTAAATTTAGTGCTGGTTATTCACTGGTTATTTAGATGTGCACTATCCGCCCACCTAAAATCCATGCGCTCATTTCAAGAGCGTCCAAAGTTGTGATATGGGAATTTATAAATGCATGTACACACTGTATAAGAACAGATTAAAAATGAAAAATATAAGTTAGATTAAATAATATACATAAGCAGTTAATTATCGATGATAATATGCAAATTAACAATAACAGTAATTTTGTATGTCCACATTTGTACCAGTGTACGTACTCATAATTTGCCACGACACCAGTCCCGAAGTGACGTTTCTTCACACACATTTTGACAGCGAGTTTGACAGTTCCTTATGGGGTTTTGCGTTGGAGTGAGAGAATAAGAAAAAGTCCACCATGTTTCACACATAGACTGACAGTAACATATGAGATTTCTCCATAGGAGTAAAGAGTTACAGAGCTCTCGTCAACGCCAATACCTACACACACAATTAAGTTCCCTCTAAACGGGAAGAACTTGTGTGAAATAAGCTTGCAATAAATCTTAAAAATACTAGCAGGGAAGAGCGCCATTCAAATGATTCAATTCGAAAATCGATATCTGAGACGTAAAATAGTTGACCCAAACCCTCACCTTGATAAGCCAACTCCTAATCGCTGATCTACCCCATCATTAGAGTGATGCTAAATTTGAAATTTTCGCTCCACAATACATAAACGATTTCAAATCGGATCCTGACTAACCTCTCAAAATTTGAACCCATTTGGTGAGAAACTGAGATGGCACAAACCATTTGAAGTTTGTATGGGAAATACTATGGTAAAACCAATATTTTTGTTCATGTATATCTAATAATTCACCATATCGGTATTTTTCAAAAGCTTTCAACTGTATTTATAGGTAATTTTTCCAGATACAACTTTGCTGAAGTCTACTTTTTGATTAAATGCAAGGATTGAAAGTTATCAATGGTTCAATGCGCTGATGCCTTATGATCTTGCTCAATCAACTGCTCATCAGGCAACATTGGTGTTTCTGGGGCGTTGAATAGGACACAAAAATCATGGCTACTATGTCACACTGCAAAATACAGTGTTGCCTACAGAGCAGCTGCTTGTTCATGTCATAAGTTTACCAATCTCTTAAATAATTAATAACTTTTTCCTGTCTCGTTTTACATAGAAACAATCTTAAGCAGAGTTGTAGCTGAGAAAATTTTCTATAAAAATGGCTATCGAACTGTTTCGCAGCTCAATATGGAAAAAGACTAGAAGGAAATGAACAAAAAGTTGAGATTTCCCATAGTAATTTACATGTAAACTTCAAATGGCTTGTGCGAAGTCTGTTTCTAACCAAATGAGTTGTAACTTTGGGAGGCTAATCAGGACCCGATTTGAAACTATTTAAGCACTGTGGAGCGAAAAAGTCAAATTTTACATCAGTCTACCCATCATGCATGTTTCACTATCATCGTTCACAAATATGAATTGCGAAGCGACAATAATGAAACTCATCGGCTCACTACTTAACTAGATAGGTCCCAAGTATATCGATTAACGTTCCCCATTCTAGTCGAAATTCTAGTTGTACGCCGCCGGGGTAGTACCATAGAGGTAACTCTAAGACCACTGGGTCCCGAAGAAAATCATTATTATTTTTGGCTCACTCAGTACCAGAACAACGGTCCCAAGCAGTCCCAAGCTATTTCACTCACCCCTGCATGTTCTGCATGAATCCACACACCCCTGATGTTATCTGTCAAACTTTCATAGCGAATCAAAACAAACATAGTGTAGTAATAGAATTTCAACTAGAATAGGGTACGTTAATCGTTTGCTTGGGACCAATAGGCTACTAAAGTGGTGAGCCAATTTAAAATCGTTAGTTACCTCTATGGTTCTACTGTCCTTACCGTGAGTTACCTCTATGGTTCTACTGTTCTATCATTATCCACATACCTTGGATAGTAGATTAACATTGAATCAGTAATGACAGAGAGCGAACGAGAGAAGGGAACGAAGGAGAAAAAGGACAGACACATGAGAGACAGAGTGTGAGATGATCGTGCCTTGCGGGGAATAAAGATTGTTTGATGTGAAGGAAACCGCCTGTTTTAATCAGACTATTACACCTGGCGACGAGATTGGAGTGACGAGTCAGTACTTGAGGTAAATAATATGAACTAATTTATTTGCTAATTAAATTTCAGCGAAAACGAGATTCAGAGAAAAATCAGCGGGGGTGAAGCCCAAGCCCCCGGCGGTAGAAATACAGCAAGATGGCTGACGATTTTTTTTTATTGAAAACAAGAAGACCGATACCACAATGAAAAAAATCACTCATTCATATAGAATGTTGGTTATGTTGCACAGGATTCGTTTTGTGACTGTCATGAAGGATGTGGATAATAATAAAACATATAGACATGTAGAAGAGCCGCATATTTTGTTGCTGTGAAATAAATAACCTTGTATTCCGGAATATTTTCCTCATTCTGGTGATGCGAAGGAGTTCAAGAGCAGGAGTAAAAGCAGTTATTTGGGTTTTTGTTTACTGTGCGAATCTTAAAAAAAAGTTAAATCGTAGCGGTCAAGTAGCAGGAAATATGAAAAGTGACGTGATGTGGACGACGTGTGATGGTGTTTTAATTGCCCAGTGCGAGAGGCCTGTATGACGGTATCGAGGCAGGATGTTACCTAATGCTAGGGGGCCTAGGCGGATGATCACAGACAGGGTGTCTGGTGGAATTCCTGTATGATGTATCCGAGGCAGGATGCCCGGTGGATGTTGCCTAGTGCTGGGGGGCCTAGGTCGATGATCACAGACAGGGTGTCTGATGAAATTCAGTATGATGTATCCGAGGCAGGGTGCCCGACAGATGTTGCCTAGCGCTAGGGGGCCAAGGTGAACGACTTCAGACAGGGTGTCTGGTGATCTTTCCAACGCAAACCGGCAAGGTTGACATGTAAAGGGTGATACGGTCAAAATTTGGTCAATATCAACTTGACGTATTTCTTTCAATTTTGCATTTAAAAAACCTGAACACCCCTCATTTTGAAGGTGTGTGTGTGTAGAATGTTGCTCCTATTTTGATTTTGAAATTCACTCTTCAGTTGTCAAAATGCCGTCCAAGCAAGAAGAGCAGTGTATCAAAATTTTGCTCGCGCATCGCGAAAATCCGAGCTACTCGCACGCAAAGCTGGCAAAATCGCTAAAAGTTGCCAAATCAACCGTTACAAATGTAATTAAAGTGTTTGGGGAACGTTTGTCGACAGCCAGGAAGTCTGGATCGGGGGGAAATCGAAAACCGGAAGCCGCTGAGACGACAAAGAGAGTTGCCGGTAGTTTCAAGCGAAACCCTAACCTCTCTCTCCGAGATGCCGCAAATAAGCTGGGTGTATCGTCTACAACCGTGCATCGAGCCAAAAAACGAGCCGGACTATCGACTTACAAGAAGGTAGTGACTCCAAATCGCGATGATAAACAAAATACGACGGCCAAAGCGCGATCCCGGAGGCTGTACACGACGATGCTGACGAAGTTTGACTGCGTGGTAATGGACGACGAAACCTACGTCAAAACCGACTACAAGCAGCTTCCGGGACAGGAGTTTTATACGGCAAAAGGAAGGGGAAAGGTAGCAGATGTTTGGCAAGCCATCTGTACCTGTGGCTTGAAAAGCAGCATTTTCATAGCTTCCGGGACTGTCAACCAAGAAATTTACGTGAAAGAGTGTTTGAATAAACGTCTGCTGCCTTTCCTGAAGAAACACGGTTGTTCCGTACTGTTTTGGCCGGATTTGGCATCTTGCCATTACGGTAAAATGGCCATGGAGTGGTACGCCGCCAACAACGTGCAGGTGGTTCCCAAGGACAAGAACCCTCCCAACACGCCTGAGAAATACTGGGCTATTGTCAAGCGGAACCTAAAGAAGACCAAAAAAACTGCTAAGGGCGAGCAGCAGTTCAAGGCAAACTGGCTTTCTGCGGCGAAGAAGGTGGACAAGGTGGCTGTACAAAATCTGATGGCAGGGGTCAAGCGTAAGGCCCGGCAATTCGGATTTGGAAAAGCGGAAGCCTAACTGAATATTTTTCCTGAATTTTATACTAATTGAACTTGAAAAAGAAATTTAATTTGATTTTTTAAATAAACGATTTCACCGATTTACACGCGTTTTCCCTTGACCAAATTTTGACCGTATCACCCTTTAGTATGAGTAGTATGACATGAGTATATTGACAAATCACAGTAGAGGTTTTTTTTTGTTGTTCTTATTTTCGATTATTGAAATTATTAATTAAAGGTTGAATTACCCACAACAGCCGTAAAACAAAAAAAAAAAAAGGTGATAAAATGGTAACCAGTGCATTTTATTTTGATTATGGTTTCAGATGGATGAAAGTCGTCCGATACCTATGTTTAAATGTGAGCAGATAGAAAGTGCACCACTTGCAAAAGAATGGCAAGAGTGGAAAGGTGCTCTGGAGTGCTACTTTGATTCGTATCAAATAACGGATCAAAAGATGAAGCGCTCCAAGATGTTGCACT